AAGAACATGACAAACTTGGACACAGTGGCTTTTTGACAAGGTAAAGACTTAAAGACAGTCTTAAAATACAAGCATTGTAAAAGTTAGCTAACTTAGATCAAAGTTAAATATATGAGATGGCAATTAATGGAATTTACATGATATATTTCAACTTATGTTGTAATAACCATATGTTGTAGTCAAATGAAATACTTACATCAAAGTACAGTGTACATGATGTGGAGCACAGGCAGATATTGTTGTGTATCAGAGGATTACAGAGAGAAAAGTTAGGACACTCTGACAACTGTGTCTGTCGTTAATGGACCCGTATTGACGTTCAGCTTGAAACCACATTGCGTATTCCATGTCTGCACAGTGGAGCTCATTCTCTGGTGTTATGGATAAGTGTCAACATCCCCCACACCCTCACCCTGCTGCCAGCTCAAACGCTCCCCCCTAGACTTCCTCTCCCTTTTGTCCTTCTCCTCTTTCCTCTGCCTCCATCCCTTCATCTCACCTATTGATTGGCAATAATGTGTTTTCACTGGTAGATTAATGGCACATTACCCTGAGAAGGGTGTCTGAGGGGACAGGACGTGAGAGACGAGGCTTATTAATTGATTCACAGACGTGCGTGTGTGTGTTTGCATGTTTTTATTTTAATTGACTGTGTATTAAAAAAGGCATTTAGTACAAATATGATGGATGCTTCAGGTCTTTGAGTTTCACAGAATTCATCATACCCTGGCTTGTCCATAAATGCATCTGTGCCTGCGCAGTAGTTTAAAGGTCAGACATTTTTTAACATTGTTTTTACCTTTAAAAAATGTGTCGCATTTGCGATTTTTGTTCTGTGCCGATACGTTGGATTTTTATTTGCTTCAAATGACAGCATGTGCAAAAGTAATGTGTTCTTCAACGCACTTTACTTTTTCTTATAACAATAATGTTTTCCACAGACTGCACTTAGCCACAGGATCTCTTTTACGTTCAACAACCTTCAAAATAAAGAACTTAGTGACTGGAATGAATTCCTAAATGAAAATAGATTCCAGCTGACTTTCTAAAAACCTGGGCAGTAGTTCCTAACCTAATGAGAGGTTAAACTTTCCAGCACTCCGTCACAAAAGATCAGGTGTAAAAACAAAAATACAAATGTTCACTGCACAGATGCAAAACTTTTCCTCGTGGTAGTTTATTCAAGTTAGTCACCTGTTTACCTGAATTCATTTATTTGATACAAAAAAAAGAAGACCAGCCTTAGGTCTGAATACGCAGACGTCTCTTGTCAGTTTAATCCACTGGTGGACAGATGAGGAGTTTACACCTCACCAAGTCACTGTTGTTCAGACTTATTTAACCAACCTTGACTTGTTCCTGCAGTTTTTTGCCAACTGGGAACACTGGGTCAGGTGGTTATGTTTTTTTTGTTGCTATGCAAGTTTGTTGCATTTCCTTTTATTGTTGTCACCACTTCCAACAAATTCAGCTCGCCCCACCAACCCCCTAGGGTCTGAAGAAAGTATTACAAGGACAAGTGTTTAAAAGGAATGCACCTTATCGTGCCTGTGTTTAACGGTTCCTCCCCACACAGTTAGAGCAGGGTAATCATTCCTCACACCTAAAAGCCTCCGTCAAGTTAAAAGACCTCGCGTATATTAATTGATTGCATTCATTTTACTGTGTTTTATTATTCTTTGTCTCACACTAGGCTCAGCCTCTCAGTTGTATCTCCTCTCATCTCTCCACTGCAGCTCGCCTTTTAGCTCAGCCTCTACAGCACTTTATCTGATTTCATCCCTTCTGCCATCTTTCAATTTCCTCCAGCAATTTGCATCTCGGAGGAGGGAGGGAGAAGGAGGAGGGCATGACCAAATTAGCAGATCAATACACCATCAAACAGTCTTTAAGTGTGACACGTACACAGAGCTCGTGTCTCAGATTTCCACCTCTAACTAATAGCCTTGTTGTTTACTTTACAGTGTGCTGTGTCATGTAGTTTTGGTCTCAGGTTGCTCTGTGGTGGAGGGACGACCTCAGGGGGATCCACACACTGGAGGGAGACCAGAAAACACTGCTAAAGTTTTATGTTTTATGTAGCTGCAGCTGGTCTGACCGTGAGCAGAATGACTCAAACACTGACCACATGTGATAGAACGTGTTAAAGAGTGGGCTGTAAAGATACAGGGATTCATGAGTCTGCTCCGGAGACGTATCATATTTTTTCTTTAAGATCAAATTAACATTTCAAACTCTGCATGTCTTGTTTGATTATTAAGTCCTGATGTTGTCTGAAATACTATCACATGATTAATTGTATACATGTGTTAACAATTACACAAAACTATTTAACCATAAGTAATTTAGTTATTTATTTTTTATTATATTTTTTAATCTATTATCTTTTAAAACATTTTTGAGCTACCAAACTGTTTAGTCATTTATTGAATTTAACATCTTTAATAGCAGCTGTGAAATTGTCACATGTGATAGACATTTATCGGACGTGTTGTCAATCACACTGCAGCTTTCCTTAGATGAACAGAAAGTGTAGAATAAAATACATACAGTAAAAATCCAAATCTCAAAATATTTTTAATCTGATTTTATAAACAAGACTCTTGTGTGTGGGTTGAAGCATTCATTAAGTTGAGCATCTACTCAGGCTGATTTATATGATTTAGACAAACTGCTGTTCCTAGGCCTTCATGTCGGGGGACACACTTCAGGAACAGTCTCTCCCATCGTCTTAGCTGCTGACCTTTGTCAGATGACTGGGAGAGGTCATCATAGGTTAAAGTAATGAGCCGAGAGAGAGAGAGAGAGAGAGAGAGAGAGAGAGAGAGACAGGGGCCCCCAACTGATAATGCAGAAACGAGTACACACACACACACCTCTCCATGCCGCTGACCAGCCAGACCTTGTCTATAGAGAGGCACAGACCCATACAGAAATACACACTCCATTGTCGCAGTGTTCTAACACAAACACACACTCATCAACTGGTTCTTCATCTTCCCTCCTGGTTCCACACTGTTCCTCTCACTCCCTCTCTTTAGTTGTAATTACACACAGTCGGGCCTCAGTGCACAGACGTGATGGGCTTTGACAAAGCAGGAGGAGGGAGGCATGCAGAAGAAGAAAGGGAGGGAGCAGGATGGAGTGGCACAATGAAAAGAGAACAATTAGCATTTCCCAACGACAGTCACAGAGGTGAATTAGCGTAGCACAGTCTGACATGTATTTATCTATAATTAACACACTAAATTGAAATACAAAGATGCCTTGCTGTTCATTGTTGTCCAAAGTTTTAAAGGGTTTCTCTGCATGAGCTCCAACTCAATATTAGATATTTTTGTTTTTACAATCCTACATATTGACAGTTTGCCATCCTGTTTGATGTGGCAGGTGTCAGGAATTGTGGGTACTAAGAAGTTGTGTGAATATATTTGTGAACAGTTTGCTAAAAATGACAGGTCACACACACACACATGCAGACACAGCGTAAATCATGCAAATCCAGAGATTTATTTTTTACATGCAGTGAAAATTATTTTATTGTCCACACAGTCAAAAATAATTCAAAGTAAGACTGAATCTTTTGGCTTCTAAGGTTTACATTATTGAAATGAATGTTTTAGTGTTGCAGTGTGCTTGGGGTCAAAGGGCAGCCCTGATAAGTGCTTTCTAACTCCGTCCAGGAATTGGGTTTTCGCTTTCAGTCAAGACAATATTTGATTTCTTAATTTTTAATTATCTCGAGGAGAGTTGAAAACACTGGTGGATAAAAATAGTTTTCTTCAGTATAAAAGAAATAAACTGACATATGAGTCATTTCTGGTGACCAACCCGTTCAGTCCCAGCCATGTAGACATTGAACAAACACGTTTTATTGTAGAATTTGTTTCAGAATTAGTTATAGAATTGATTGACTCACAGTTTATGGCTTAGTTCTAAAATGCAGACCTACGTCTGTAATACGCCTGACGTGAAGCTCAACTGTCAGGAATTAGCTTTGGCTTGGCTTGACAGAAGCACAGGAGCAAAACTTTCCATAGTGTCCACTTAAAATTATGCTGAGGCAGCTGCTGCGAGGGTCTGCGGATGTGGTAACAGCAGACTGGCTACTAGACAGGAGGAGAGAAGACCAGAATATAGATGTTATCTCCTACTGAAAAGATTGAGCGTCAGCTCCTGCCTGAAACTCAAAAATGTTAAATTTCTCAGTACCAAGAAATAATATCTTAGTGATGTATTATTAGCACAATGTGTTTCTTTGAGAAGAAAGTATTCATGTGCTTTCACACAAATACACTTCTTTAACTATAAACACTTTGTCGTTAAATATTGATTTCTTTTTTTATTATATCAAAAATATATAATAAAATATTTGGACAATAGGCAAGAGAAATTCTTAAGTCACCTGTTTGAAGTATTTACAATATTCTGAGTACTCCGTGGCCTCGTCAATGACAAATCACCACAACAACGCATAAGTGAATCTGATATTTTTTTAAATCCCATTTTATGTAAATATTTAAATGAAAACTTAAGCAGGATTTTTGGATTTCTTTAACTATTTAAGAATACAAACATAATTTCATTTAAAAGTATTTGATGACCATGAAAAGGAAATAATATTTTCCCAAAATATTACTAATCACCAAATTCAGACTTTTTTAAAATTAATTTAATATAATTTGTGCTGGTATTAAATAAAGATTTAATACTAAATTAAAAAGGGAAGTTTTTTTACAGTCCCTGAGAAATCTTTGAATTTGTTAAATCTAACAATTGTATAAAGTTTACGTCAGTGTGTGTCTTCAAATACTGAGTCAGCATTTTGAAATATTTCATTAATTATATTTTAATAATATTTTCAGTAAAATATGTTATGAGCCAATGTGGAATAAAGAGGAAATAGTATGATTAAAAAACGAGCATGCATGAAACATATAGAACAAAATGTTCATTACATTCATTTAAATACATAGATCATTTCAGTAATTAATAATAATAATTACAATAAAAAAACATGATAGACGAAATGCATGCAGATAGATAGGCTTTATGTTTTTTTTCTTTGGTGGCTTTGGTCTTTCTGTTGTGGTTAAAATAATAATAATAATAATAATAATGGGTGAATTCATAACATTTAGAGATAGTTTCAGGCCTCCTTCTGGCTAACTCATTTTTTAATTAAAAAAAAAACACCTTAAAGGTCAGGTTTAAGGTCAGGCCTTATTGTACAGGCCTTAAAAACTCTGACCGACTGAAAAATAAATAATACCAAATCCGCGTGTTCTTGTGATATGTCCCTACTCCTCCATCCTGGAAGTCTGTGACAGTGAAGGCCGCAGCTCTGGACCCACCACCCTTAAAATGCTCTACACTGGGCATCAGGCCACCAAAAGAGTCTTTCTCCCCAACGTGAAGCCATTACATGTCCCCGTCATACAGACTGAAATATTTGCTGGCGTTGGAGAAGCAGAGGTAAGGCGTGCTGCTGCCCGGGTAAACCACCGGCAGAGGCATGGGGAGCAGGCATCTCCCCAGCAGGTTGTTCTCTTTGTACAAGGCCGGGAGCTGTCCCATCACCACCGGCTTCCCAGGTTCCGGGAAGTCACTGACGGGTCCGTCGATTTCGGTGGAGATCTGCCGTTTCAACTTATTCCTGCGGTTCTGAAACCAGATTTTCACCTGCGTCTCCGTCAGCTGGAGAGAGCTGGCCAGGCAGGCGCGCTCCGCGCTGCTCAGGTAGCGCTTCATGTCGAAGGTGGACTCCAACTGGAAGATTTGTCTTTTGGAAAATATCGTGCGCGTTTTCTTTTTCGTGACCATCTTGCTCTTCCTGGCCTCTCCGTCCCCCTGCTCCAAGTCTGTGGACGCGGTGACGGAGCCGCTGTCGTCGCAGCTGCTGTCTCCGCTGTCGAAGCGCACGTCCCTCCTCGGGTCTGCGCGGCTGACGACGACCGCCTCTGTCGACTCGCTGCACTCTGGGTTCAACTCTGCAACAAATTCAAACACGGTTTAACCTCGTGTCAGGCTGTAGCTGCGCACTGACCTGAGAGTGAAATGTCTTCGGAGCGTAATGGTGAGCTAAGATGACAGATGGTCTCTATTACGCACAGCCTGCAGCCAAACAATCATTCGAACCCTCTTACCACTATCGTGGAGCCTGCTGCTCGGATCCTGTCGCCACTGCCCCCCGTGTTCCTGCTGGTGACTCTGGAAAGCGTCTTTACGCACCACCGTGGCCGCTTCATCCTGCTGTCCAGTGTCGCGGCAGCTGTCACAGTTCCTGCCGCTCGTCTTCAGGTTGAGGATGTTATCAATTGTGAATTTCAGAGAGGCTGCGGGTCGACATGGAGCCTCCGCTTTGTTCATATTCACCAAGGCGTAAATCCTCCTCTGACGTCCGTTGCTCTGCTCCCTCTCAAACTTTAAACCGGAACAAAATTCTCACAACAGACCTCCAGATGCTCTGCGAACCATAGCAGCTGCGGCTGAGCAGACACTACGGGGCTGACGGTGCTCTGCCTGCGTCGCCACTACGAACATATGATGGGGAGCAATTAGCTCTTCACTGATTGGACCAGAGAAACAGGCAGCTTTAACCAATGGGAGCAAGAGGACGGGAGTGAGGTCAGGAGAGTGCTGCTGCTTCTGTGCCCTCCTTCTATACTCTACTTCACCCACCGTCACCCACCGTCACCCCCTCCCCCATCACTGCTGCCGCTTCATAAACTGTACAATAAGTAAATAAAACTCTGATTTCTCTAATCAGATTTTTTTGTTTGTTGACAAAAACAACATATGAGCTTTATTTTTGTCAGGTTGAGGTTTTATAAGCATTGATTTTCTACACTGACCCAGTGTCTATAAACGTTGCTTTATTTCTCGTCGTGAAAACCAGCGAAATCTTTTAACCGCACCGTCTGTCCCGATATGATTTAATATTGGCAATAGATTTTGTGTCATAAAACATTAACAAACAGAGACAAGGATCACAGTTTTGGTCTGTTTATTCTAATAATAATAAATATTATAATATTTGTGTTTCAGAGTCAAGATTGTTAAGTATGTAATCTTAAGAAAATACCTAAAATGAATGACCAACCTTTGCTCTCAAACTTTAAAATATAACATCTCTTCTGTTACAACGAAAGCAGTGACAAATGTTAATTTATTTCTAAAATGTAAATTTACTCAGTTTGGTTATTTAGCCTTATTACTAATTGCGTGCCTCAAGTGATTTGTCGAATAACCGACAAATGAAAATTTCGAATTTTTTCTAATCATGGTTTTAAGATTTTGTAAACTACGTTTGGTAAATAACTAAATATTGAATATGGAATAGTGCTGATTTGACTTAACATGACATGGTTTTTAATTTTTTGAGAGCTAATTATTTGGGGAAAAAAGTTCGATTAATTTTGAGTTGTTAAGCCCAAACCTCTAACTGTAAACCGGGGTTATATTTTTTATATATTACATAAAATCCTCTTTCCATATAGAAATGTTTCTAAAAACGTTGGTCAAGGAGAAAAAGTCAACGAGTTCAAGATGCACAGAGCTCGTCTGTCTTAATCTGATACAGTACCTACAAATCGATGATGGATTCGTGGATTATAAAAACATCAGGAAGACACTTTTGATAAACAATTTTATTTATCTTGTGAAAAAGTGACAAAGTGGAAAAAAGTGACTTTCAGTATAAAATTCGTAAAAACGTGTCATGTGCATGAAGAGCCGTTGTAGAATCCTGTGATAAATCATAAAACAGTTCTGATCGGTCCTCACACCAAACCGGTCATCTGCGATCTTAACAAACTCATGGAGTGAGCGAACGAAGACAGTGTGTTGTCTGTAGACCTGGTCGTCAGTGGAGCCACTCGGTGTCCACTCAGGCCTAAAGCCTGAGCATGACTTGGTGCTGCTCCGTCGTGGTACAGGACAGGAACCCTGATAAACCTCTGGGTCGAGTTCTGTATATGGACAGCCTCCAGGTCGGCCGCCAGCTGCCTCTTCCACTTATTCCTGCGGTTCTGGAACCAGATTTTGACCTGAGTCTCCGTCAGATGCAGAGACGCGGCCAGTCCGGCTCTCTCCGAGCTGCTCAGGTACCGCTTCACGTCAAAGGTGGACTCCAGCTGGAACACCTGGCTACGGCTGAACACAGTCCTCGTCTTCTTTTTGCGACTGGAGCTGACGTCAGAGGACTGCGAATCAAAAGCGTGCTGCGCGTCCCCGCTGTCGTCAGGTGGCAGGTGGTGGTCACCCGGTTTCCGGTCACTCTTGTCGCTACTTTCCGTGTTCGGCTCGGACTCAGTAGCTGAACCTGTGTCACTGGTCATAACGGAACAGAACCTGGTGTCCCTTAGACCTGAGATTAGCAAAATATATGTATATATATATGTATATATATAGGTCGCAGGGGAGAATACTTGATAAAATTAAAAAATACTTTTTCATTTTTATTTTTAGGACACATACTTGCCAATGTGTTGCAATAAAATACACCATCACTTTTAACCAATTAAATTTTCACGTCGAATGAAAGTTTTAATTGTAAAGGTAACAATATGACATTAGGGAATTTTATATTTAGAAAAACAAAACAAGTTCACATATTTTTAAATAAATATTTCTACTTCATAAACAAAAAAATTAAATTGAAGAATTAGTTGTATTTACGCAATAACTACAGCTATACACTTTATAGTTAATGATGTTTCCACTATTGCAGTTTTTATTTCAAACGATGTAAAATTCAAATGTTAAATACAAGATAATAATTCACCTAATTTTTTATTAAGGAAACAGTAAAACATAATTAATATACTCCAATAGGTTTGTTGCCCACGGCAATTTAACTGTCATCTTTGCAGGGTCACGTGTTAACAAGACCATATGTCCAGGTTCTCCCATCTTTTGAGACGGTTCTTGTTTTTTTTTTAATCGTAGATACTTGATTTGATGTTTTGGTTTGGGATAATTCGAGGCACATGACAGCAGTAAGTCACGGAGCTTAATAAAACCCGGATGGTGACGTGGACCTCGGATCTGCTTCGCTACTGTTTTCAGTTATGCACAGAATCTACGGGAGTTTTTTAGAACCCAGATTATGGACGTGTTGGATGTTAAACAAAGCTCGTCCTGTCCATACATGCAGCCCAGCAGTGGACCCGGTCTACGACTCATGTATGTCCTCCAGCCCACCATCGACCACCTAATGTCCCCTCAGACAGTAAACATCTTAGGCAGCCGTGGTCTGAACGGAGCCAATAAAGTGGGAACGCTGCTCGTAAATCCTTCAAATAAAATCAGGTCGATAAATCTGCACGGTATAAACGACCACGCCTGGAGTCCAGGGTTTCCATATAGTCACATGCAGGCGTGATGTTAAGCCTGGATGTGTTTTTCTCCATCAGTCTGTTCATAATTCAAGTTAAGTCGAAGTAGAATCGATTCAACTTGGAGCGCTTCATCTTTCATTTTAAGAGGACATAACAAACACAAGTCTTACCGTGGGTTCTGGAACTCGGTGCTCTCCCCCGGTGACACCTCTGCAGCTCCGACTCTCTGTGTGCAGCTCCAGACCTGGAGCTCCATCCGTGAAGATGCACCGGCGCTTGTGCTTTCTGAGTTCGGTGGGAGCTCAGCGTCTCCGCCCTAACTTCTCTGAGGTCTTCGCCGGACTGTGATTCCCGTCCGCTCCGTCTCTTGCCCAATAGGTTGTCGATGAGAAAGGACGTCGCCCTGGATGAAACGGGTGTCATTGTTTCTGCCAGTTTCTCCTTCATGTTATCTCAAAACCACGGCGTCTTCAATCCAAAAATCGTATCCTCGTGAAGTCGACCAGAGAGGTTTGAAAACATTCATTTCAAGCTCGGATTCTGCTGCGCTGAGATCGTTTGAGGTCCAATATTTGTAGCAGACAGACGGAGCGGCTCCTCAGAGCCAGCGGCTGGACCGGGACGGAGGGAGCAGGGAGACGGAGGGAGCAGGGAGTCCAGACTGCCCACGACTGGACTGGCCCCACGGGAAATGTGGTGTTGCAGAGGAAGAGACGGTGTCATCAGCTGCTGTCGCTGCTGATGAAAACGATGCTGCGGCTTCTGCTGATGCTGTCTGTGACTGAGCGTTGTGATGTGCGTGTTTTCACGTGCACGACCGACCTCCTGAGGCCACAGCCTGGAGAAAACCCCTGTCCGCGGCCGAGCACTTATTATTTGGGTCAACTGTAGAGCAAACCATAACATAGATTAACCAGAGGAGAAACAGCACTGTGTGTGTGTGTGTTTATTGAGAACATTTGTTTCTATTTTTTAAATTAGTAGTCCACTAAATTAATGCTCAAACTATAATTAATTATTTCTAATTAATTAATTAAAGAAATTCTAATTAATTTCAATACTGGACAGTCTTTTGAAAATGTTTTCTCCATTAAATAATTTTCATTGCTCTGCCTAAAGAATTAAGTCAATAACAAAATATAAATCAGTAAATAGTATCGCTGCTAAAATCATTTTGATTGAAATTATGTCACATGACTTTTTGTGATTTAAACAAGTCATAGTTGTGTATGCTCCGTACTGTCTAGCTCTGCAGTGGCCTGTACCACTTTCTAACGTGTTAATCTAATTCAAATATCATTTTTAAAAGATGGTATTTTCAGGTTTTAAAAATGACATATATAAAAGACCACTGTTAAAAAATTCTAACTTAATCAATTATCAATTTATTATGTGGAATTTTACAAAACCAAATATCGGCACAAAACATAATGTATGATTGTAAAACATAGTCATACATATTTGAAATATTTATAATGAACTCATAACAAACACAAGGGTTGTGTGGTGACTTCTCTGGTGACTGTTTATATCTGTGGATAATCAAACTAAAGTTGACAAGACAAGCAGAATGTTTAGATCTTGTATGAGTTACACCACAGCCGTCCCTCTCTCTTTCTCTCTCTCTCTCTCTCTCTCTCCCTCCTCCCCCTCCTCCCCAGACTCTCGCCCTTAAGGCCAAATTTACCCTTTGACAGAAAGTCCAGTGTGATGTTGCTCTTCATCCTAACACTCAGCTCAGGCTGCAGTAACTGAAGCTGAGTTTGGCAGCTCAGCCTTATGCCTCACCTCACCGTAATGTTCCTGAGAGACAGGTTGTGTTGAATGATGGGTTGATTTCACAGACAGATGTTTTGTAGATGTTGTATAGCCGTACAAATATAATATTTTAAGATAGTTACTGGACCTTACTTGGATCCATTGACAACGTACAGTAAAGGCAATGTTTCCAGTAGAAACAGCAAACTGTTGAAACTATTCAGGCCCATGTTCTGATTCCGTTGTCAGTTCTGACCTTTCAGATATTTTTTGGCCAATTCTTTCCTTAAATACAGTACCAGCCAATCATAAAACGTCTATTTAAGGGCTACTTCACAACAGCAGCTGGTGATTCCCCTTCATACGGACCAGAGTTTATTTTCTTGATTTTAATCCACTTCACATGTGCAGGTGTCACAGCTCATCCAAACTGTGATGGAGACCTAACTAGCAGACCCAGCTCCACCTGAAGTGAGGTTCACTTATACTGGAAAATTCGGGGAATTCCACCCTAAACGAGCAAAAGTTGTTTTCTTATGGTGTGCAGTCCAAGCCCAACATTAGCTCACATTTCCATGTGTGCAGCAGGCTGTCTCACCCACATCACATCCCAGTCAGTGCTGCTGCTCTGAAGACCAAACCCCAGAGGCTTTTCTCTCACTTCTCTCTCACTTCTCTCTCTCCTGGTTCTCCACTGTCTCTCACCCCACTCTGATCTTCATCCACCTTGGCGTGCCCTTTGCTTAATACAGCTTCATAAGCTCTCTGTGTGACGCCGCAGCTCTCACACACAGAGCACTATCATCAGCATGTGCTGCAGGAGAGGGCGGCATCAAATGTTTCTCCAGCCATGGGTGGTAAATCATTTCTGACCCTCGATGCTGCCTGCCCAGTGGGCAGAAAGCTTGCAGTGTGATTGTTAATATCAAGTCCTCTGTGAAAGGGCAGTTATCGTCTGAACTGGACGGTTTAGTCCAGTTGTCAGGTGTTTAAGATACTGATTGTATTTGTAGAATAAAAACTAAATACTCTGATAATCTTTGAAAAAACAGCAATAAACGAACTTATAAGAGTACGATAAATATTGTATTTGTATATTGTACAAATTTATTATTGTAAATAATGATGTACAATAATTTGACTCATTCAAACACAATGATACATGATCATTAAAGGTAGTTATTGTATCCGTCAGATTCTTTGTACAGTTGTGATCAATAATTACGGTAATCTGATAATGTAGGATCATTTGACACCTTCTCTACATGGCTCAGTTACTTCAGTAGTACAACGGGATAAAAACACCACTTGTCTTTACGCATCATTTCACATGACCTTTGACACAGTTTCTCACACTTGGCAAACCACGCTGTAAAAATAGTGCATTTCATAAGCAAAAATGACGTGTTATTTTATCATTTATTCCTGAGCTACGTCAATAGTTACGATAATTTTGCTTGAAATAAGATACTTGTATAACTAAATGTGACGTCAGAGATTGCGCACAACTGACATGATATTCTACTGAAGCAAAGGAGATTCCAGTCCCAGTTTATTTATTCATTTTATGCTAATTTATGTTAAAAATAAAACACCCATCAGGACTAAACCCTTCCTTGTGTATTTATATTCCATGTTTACATTTCTGGACGCAACAATTTATTTTGCAAGCTTGCGTACTTCAGATAACGTCTCCCTTTAACCAACCGTCCTTACTCTGTAATAAAACTTTATTAGATATTAAAGGTAGAGAGCTCTAATCACTACTTTGCAGCTGATGTTATTGAATGGAGTGTAACCCTAGTGGCTCAGACTGCCAATGAAAGTGGAGACAGTTTGACCTATTGTTCATTACATTGGAGGCAGTGAGACAGGACGACATGGACACGGACATGGTCCTCTGGGGGGCGTTTCCCAGCTCTCTTTACATCAACATGTCTTAGCTCACTAGCTCGGTGAGATACCGTGACCCCAGTTGACCTGTGTCTGTGTTGCCAGCATGAACCAACGTGTTGAACGTACATTTATCTCTACATGATTCATACACGTTTGGTAACTCACATATGTGGAAAATCAACACATGCAGCCTGAACAAGGCCAGGTTTTAAACCTGGTCCACCAGGCCCAGATAAATGAGGAGTGTTTATGTCAGAAGGGGTCCTGACATAAACCCCCCCTCATTTATCTGGACTTGAAACTGTGGCAGGGGTATGATGGGAACCTTGGGATTAAAGGTACATTGCACTAAGAGAGATTTAGTGTCATGCAGTGATGAAGTTAGAAGTTGTGTTTAGTTATCCCTCTGCCACATGATACATGACATGGTGTAAAGGTTTGTAAAACACTGTACTGGACAAATGGACGAGCTGGAATTGAACCTTTAACCTCTGGGTTTGACTACACCGACTGTCCCTCTAAATCAAAGCTACTTTTAATACAGATATGGTTGAATGGTGTTACTGTGAAACAGATGGCGTTTTAGTCACATAGCCCTCCAGTGGTCAAAGAAGTACACTGCACCTTATTTTTCAGGCGTCACATAATTGTCTTGTTTTCTAGTAATAATTCCACCTTAGAGTAATTTATTCCCATTCGTGCACGGCGCTGGACCGAACGCAACCTAAACCACCCTAATGTTGTAATTCCACTGAAACCCACTGGAAATATTCAGCTGGAAACAACTGCCTGTTGGTACTTGACCAAACTTTTCAGCAATCCTCAGAGCAACAATGGAGGCAAAGTGGGTTTTGTATTACTTTCCAAGTCAAGACAGCGGTTGATTCACATGCAACGGTCAGAATGTATAGAATTTAAGAAGAAAAAAAAACCTTTATTGCAATTCCAGATGTTGGAAAAATGCCGTCTCTGCAAAATTGCACTTCATATCTCCTCTTAGCCGTAGTTCGTTCAGTCTGATTTGCTATAAACTGTCATTAATAATTCACTGGCTCTAATAAGTTGATGATGCAGTTTGTTCGTATTGATAGTATTAGCCGAGTTCTCAGCCAGACCAAATGACGCCAGCACACCAGCACGGAGTGGGCTTTAATGGCCCATAATCTCCGTCCTTCTCTTTGGTGTGAGTGAGTGAGTCAACAGCCTACGAATGCCAGACATTTGAAAAGCAGGTCTTAGCGCCACAGAACTGTGAACTTGAAAATAATAATTAGTTCTCTGGACTCGGGGAGCTGGAGTTTTCTACACATATCAAATGTTTTTGAAACTCTATTTATTTGCTGCTGGTAGACGGTGTAGATAAGCTGTAGTAAATCAAGTCAGTTGACTTGTGAACACTTTGAATGTTAATTACATCGAAGGTCAATAAAAAAAACTTGAGTCCATGTGGCCCACGTCCAACTGCCAACAATCCAAGACTTGAAAGAAATATTCACGACAATCTTAAGAAGGAAATTACATATTTTTGTGGTTTGTTTGTTTGTTTGTTTTTTACAAAACTATATATGCAACTAGGAGTAGTACAAGTAGCAGTAGTGCTTGTTATAATAATAATAATAATAATAATAATTACTGTACTATTTATTTTGTAAAATTGATGCATTTTTAATTCTGCATTTAACCACATATAGGAGGCGGTGTAAGCAGACTACTGTACATTAGGTCAAATGACTAGTTAATGCATTTTAATGATCATTAGCAGTAAAGTGTGTACTTCTTCCTTTGCACTGCGC